ATGGGTGTAATGCCTTTGATAGATATTCAGTTTTAGTGGGAGTTTGTAATGTTTTTTTGATATAGACAATTTATGTTACTTCAGTTTTATGGATATTTTGAGGTTATTTCTGCAGAATTTAAGTTTCAGTTATTTCACACTTTGATTATGGAATATGGTTGATCTCACTTAAGTTTAAGGTGGACCAAGTTGGAACAGACATGTGATGATCACATTTCATGTAGTTTCCATGCTACACATCCACATCATAATCCATGTCATTCATTTGTATTGGCATTGTGACCATTGATGGTTGAGTTGCGATAAATGTAACAAATGCCGCTTTGATCCTATGTTAATGTGATTGATGGACCGGATTGGTTAATGATACTTTTGGTTATGACAACAAATTCGAGCTCATAAGGTTATTTAGCAATGCATAATTATAAAGTTACACATATAGCCCAAGTGGGAGATTGTTGGATCCTTAATCCAACATTGGGCTAATATGTGAAATAATTATTGTATTGTGGTTGTCAAAATAAAGAAGCTCAAATATAAGTGATCAATTAAGGTTTAAAGTTATTGGGCTTTAAAGTATCAATAGGGTGTGGGCCTTTAATGTGTAGAAACTAATGGGTCTTCTATTTTAATGATGGGCTAAAATAGAGATGCCCAATGTAACTTAATGTACATAAGGGTTGTGGTCCCTAGGTCATACGACATCGACAGATTATCTCTTCTGCATCCCATCGACAGAGAGGTTACGGAGAAAAGTTAAAGGGTTCTCTGAAAAGGTACACGATCGTATAGACCTAGAAGGCCAAATCCCCAAATCAATCACCTATGGATTCAGGTACGCTTCCGCTATTCAGTTTTGATTCTCAATTATTCGATATGAAAGCTCCTGGATTAAAGCGATGTATTTCGCCTAAAGTTAGTTCCAACATAAGTTTTATAAAGTTCATTATAAAAGTCTTAAAAAATTTCTAATAAGAATTTTCTAAAAGTTCATTAATATAATAATTTGTTCCTCCAAAAATGTATGAATTTCTACAACTCAATACATACATATTGTTGGAGTAGTGGATGACCTAACACCACACCAAAACAAAAGAAACATGAAAACTCGTCGAGTTGGGAGGAGAGAACGCTAAAACCTACACATACCGGTCCTCGTCCGGCAAAAATAGCTAAACATGGACAGAACACATAGAGATGAATCTCAACAACACACTACTTGCAGACGCTCTTTATTGAAATGCGTTCACAAAGGCCATCAACGACTCCACATCCCTCTTCTCCGAGGGATACTTGATCGGCCTCGACAAATTCTTCGGGAAAAACAGAATAGTCGGGAAACTCCCGAGCCGCAGCTCCCTCTGAGCAAACGCCTTCTCCTCCCCATCTGCCCTGAACTTAGCCACCTTCACCCCGGACCCCACCATCCTATCTGCCAGCTCAGCAAATGACTCCTCCATCCCTTGGCAAAACCTGCACCAGGGAGCATACAACACCACCAACCATCCCTCCTTCCTATTATTCCCCATCCTCAGCAGATTCTCAATCCCGGGCCTGCTCAGGCTCACCACATTCTTCGTTTCGAAAAGATCCAAATGGCCCACAGTCCCGTTCGCGTGCATCGGCCCACTACCATTGCCGTTCAAAATCAAATTCTCCTCCTTGATGTTGCCCTTGTGGAGCCCACACTCCTTGGCTTTCGCGTCCTCCCACCACCACCTACCCTCCCGCTCATGCTGACCTGGCAAAACAGGCCTCGTGCACGGCTCGCACCCGATCGAGATATAGCCCTTCGAGTGCAAGGAGTTGACGGGCACGTCCATGGCCCGCAAAAAGCTCCACACGTCATTTCCCTTTGCGTTCGCCAATGGATTCCACTTGACGAGGCTTCCGGGCCCACCATCCAATCCCTCAAAGGCTGGGTCCACCTGGACAACGGGGATCTCGGAACGTGTGCCGGGTGACTGGTCCTTGCGCTGGCCCGTTATCCAGGCGCGCAGGCCCGAGAGGGCCCGTCTTAGGGGACGGACTTTTCGGACACGGCAGCACTCCTGGTGGCCATCCTCGTAGAAGGAGAAGAGGCCCTTGGCCCGAACCAGTGCCTGGACCTCGGAAGCATCCGGAAACATGTACTCGATGCGGATGTTGTACCGCTTTTCGACCTCGTCAAATACTTTGTATGTCTCGGGGTTTAACCGCCCGGTGTCCAGGCTGAAGACCCTGAACGGGCGTCCGGTCAGATGGGCGTACTCAATCAGAGCAACATCTTCTGCCCCACTGCAAAATTCAGAATTTTTTCTTTCAGTAACTTCGAATATAGACTTCTGACCACCTTAATCAAAATCATAATCAGTGTTTTCAAGGTTACAGATTAGAAAGACAAAGACCACTAAAATGGCTCTCACTCTTCAAAAGAAAGGCAACTGAACCAATAAAAACTGCAGGACACAGTCCATTACATCAATTCTTAATATCAACAAGAATAGAGACCAATTACTACCTTAGAAGGGTAGATTCATTAACAATTTGAAGCTACGAAGTTCACCGCTCATCAGATCAAGCAGAATTTAACTGAACCAAATAAAAAAGCTTGAGAATTACCTAAAAGCAATGGCGATGTCATCCCCAAATTTCTCAAGGGCCCTGTCCATGATCTCAAGTGGGGATGAGTTTTCCAGCTCCTTTGCCAATTTATCATAATCTTCCTCCTCCACCACTTTCCCGACAACCTCTGTTAACAACAAATTCATCATTCAGAGGGTACAATCCTTTCGATTTTGTGCTAAAACTAAGAAAAGTGACTGCCACATACCAGGGGCATACAAGGTCGCCGCTGAAGGAACAATTGAGTCATTCCTCTTCGGCTCGGCATTCAACGGCCTCACGGCGCAACGCCGCCGGGAGAAATTCAGGGACGTCGGTGAGACACGTGGCCAATCCAACACCTGGGACGCGCCGAATTGAGCGCCTGTAATAGAATTTAGGACAAAAATAAACTGTCAGACACGAAGCTCAAACGAAGAAATGAATTAGGCAAAATAAAGATAAAGATCGCACCTTTGGTTTGCTCAATGGCGGCGGACATGGGAGAGCTCTGAACAGCAGATGAAGAGGAAATAGCTAATGCCATTGATGTCTCTCTCGTTCGCGCAGTGACCTTAAATTTCACGGTAAGCTGAAGAAAAAAAAAAATGGTGTGTTGAATTTTGGGTTTTTTTTTGTAGATTTCGGAGAATGGATTGTTATTGTTTGCCGCGGCGATGGCGGATGCAAGAATTTTATACATGGAAGAAAATCAAGTCCGAGACCAAGGCCGCTACAGATTCATTGAATTTGGACGTGTTTCGGGTTCTACCGTTTTGCACGTGGCAACGTTCTATTGGATGTGTGTTATTGTGGCTCGGTCAGCACATTCGTCATGTGGCCGTGGCGGCCGAGAAGTGGGGGAGAGTCGTGTGTGGCGAACGATACCCACAAAATGGAATTTCCAAATGACACTTCTTGGCAATTCATTTTCGAATTTCGAATAATGTTTTATTTTTTAATCTTTACTTTTTGTTATTTTGTCATTTGTGGTGGGGAATCTAGATTTTGTGCTAATTATTGGTACCGCACAAATGATACCAAGACATTGAACTTTTGGATGAATCGGTGTAAGTAGGCGTGTAAGTAGGGTTGTAATCAAGTTGAGTTGAGCTGAGTCGAGCTGAGCTGAGCTGAGCTGAGCCGAGCAGAATTAATTTTGTTTTTAACTGCTCGAGCTCGAGCTCGATTCGATAAAAAGACAATCGTTCGAGCTCGAATCAAAATGCTTGAGCTCGACTCAAAAATTTTTAAGTGGAAAAATAAAATTATTATTAAGCATCTATGATATACTATTGTGATATATATAAGATGTATTTTAGTAATTCAACATATATCTCGAGCCGCTAGATGAGCAAATATGGTAAAAACTATGATTAGTCAATTGCTTCTAACGGCATATCAACCACACTAGTCTTTTTTTTATGTTTTCACGGCAAATATTATACTCCCTCCTATTCTTTTAAATGTTATTTTATGCTTTACACATAATTAAAAAAAAATATTGCCAATATTACCTTATATAAAGCAAATTAACATTAATTAATTTCATTCTTTTCAACTTTTTTTTTTTATATTTTTTAAGAGATAAAACTCATCGTATTCTACAACTTTCTTCCTAAAACGTGTAGTGTATTAATTAAATGGAAGTAACAATGGAAAAAATACGTATAAATTTTAAAAACATCATTTATTTGATTAATGACCAATAAAGCCAAAATGGCAAATAAAATGAATAGGGCGAGTAATAATTAGAAATCTCAAAAAGAGTACAGATCGAGTGTCGGCTGACACCAATGAACCAGAGAACATTGACCTGCCATTTCTTGAACTCCACAAGTGTTCAAGGGGTACAAGCTCCATCAAGGAGACGACGCAAATACAAATTTAAACTCCATAAAAGAGACAAAACTCCATAAAAAAGACTA